TGACAGTATGAAAAATTAAAATTGAAAAGGCTGAATGATACTGGTCACTGGAAACTAGAAAGTGGAAACTCGAAATGGAAAAAAACAAATTTATGTCTTACACAGATTCCTGTATAGTGTTGAGGTCTGTGATGTCATATTGATAATTATAAATGGTATCATGCAGCAATGATAAGGAAAAGGTTACTAAATGTGATATCCCCACCAAGAACAACTCGTTTTAATTTATTAATTTCGGTAAAATATGTAAAATGTAGCACCAATCAAAAATTATAATAATTACAACCAATATTTTAGTTTTTAGAAGTCATTATAATTACTGTCTATTATATTGTCAAGTATATTATAGTTTTATACATGGTATGGAATAATATCAAAGGAATTATGTGCAAAATATGTAAAGACTGTCTAGTAAGCTGTTGTATGTACCCATATTGCAATTTTCAAATTGTTACTCCTAGACAATAACTGAATAACTAGTTACCGTGGTCGTAGTGTATGTCGTTGGTGTACCATGAATGGCCGTCGACCCGACCCGACCCCTTTACCTATCACCCGTTATTTGCATGTTGCAATCCGTTTTTCGTCTAGTCACTTTTCTCAGCGACTCAGCTGCGTTGTTTCAAAACCAGCACTTTCGCATGTTATATTACATTTATTCAACGTGTACTGGTAAGATTATTATTTCAAATAAAATTGTGTTTATTATACGATAAGGTAGTGAACAATACTAGGTTTACGGTGATGCCCTTCGAGGGAGGGGTTCAAAATTTTTGTCCAAATAGTATACATTGTAGAAATGTGATAAGGCTTTACATTTTAATTTCTCTTTCATATATTAATCGTCTACACGTTCTTTAATACAATAGGTACCTACCTACTTTATTACTTTCAAACAATTCTGTCATTTCAACATAAATAAATACTGAAAGTTTTTTTTCATTTTTAAATGAATGATCATGGATACATTTTGTTTAATAAAATATCTAATATAGGTAGATACAGCTAAATAATTATTTACCTATGAATAGAATATAGGTACTATTATCATACTTAATTTGATATTATTAATATAGCATATATTTGTTACTCAGCTAATGCTTTAGATAGTGAAGATTTTATTTAATACTCAAACTAGTCTTATATTAAAACTAAATTTCTTACTTGTTATTAATAAGTACCTGCTTATAAACAATAATCTTAAATTGTGTATTAATTATGATTTAATTTGTATCTAGTGTATCTTCACTAGTAGTTAGGTTCATATTAGACTGAATATTGTGGAAGATTTGCTTTATATAACTATGCACTATTCATTCATTTATAATGAATTATATTATTTATATTCTGGAATACTCTGTTGTCATTGTATTTTCTTTCCTCCCTAAGTAAGTGTTAAGTGTTAAATATTCTTCTCTAAAAAGTTGATTTCTGTTGACTCACTATTGTTGATGCTGTTTGTTGTTACATTGGTAGAATAGGTCTGATATTTATTAATACAACTATAGGTATATGGACTAATATTTGACTAATAGTAATGTATTACAGTCATCTGTTAATTATTTTAGTAATGAACAAATTGTACTTAGACTCCAAAACTGTATCATTAAGGTTTAGCATAATGTGTATTATATTATTCTTTCAAGTTATATCTTATAGAGTATGATTTATTCAAAACAAATCATATATCTGGTCAAATTCGATCCAATATACTATCTAATTCTAACAACATGGTAACTTTTAATTTTTAATTTGTATCAATCTGTATAGTACTAAGTACTTAAATTATCTTAAGAGGACGTCGCACCCGCATGTGTCGTCTCCGTCTTACATGCTTACTACATACCAAACTTTACGCTCAACAGATCACTTTAACCCTGTTAATCTTAAAATTAGAGTGAATTGACCTCTTATAAAATTTAAAGGTAAAAATATTATCTAGGGCATCGCATCGGCTTTTTGTTATATTTTAATTTTAAAGTGAATTATGAGTATTTTAAAATTGTTATTTCTTTGAACATCTTTTAATAGGTACTCATAACTATTTAAATTAAAATATAACAAAAAGATGATGTGATGCCCCAGATAATATTCTTAACTTTAAATTTTATTAGAGGTCAATTCACTGCAATTTTTAAATTAACTTAAAACTAAGTTAACCTATTAACGGGTCTAAATGTGATCTGATGAGTGTAAAACGGAGACAACATAATATACGGGTACAACTTCCTCTTAATGTAGTTGTGTAATTTAAAGCATAAATAATAAGTAAATTATTTGTAAATGGATTTAAATAAAAGCATTTTTTACTAAATATATCATGGTAAAATATGTTACATTTATAAAAAATTAATAATTAATAAATCTATCCAGCAACATAAACACTTGGAAAGGGTTAAATGTTGGTTGCTAAGAATTAACGTTAATTTCAAACAATTTTAGTTTATTAAATTGTATTATAAACCATAAGATATTATTTATCATACATACTACCTATAGTACAAATATTAATTTATAATAATATGCTGATAGCAAAAAAGAAAAAAGAAGTAAATTGTGATATTATTGGTATTTTTTCCTCTTTGTTGTAATACAAATTTTGAATCTGCCATTAAAATTGTATGTCTAGTGCCGGTTTTTTTTCACTCGATGTGCTTAGTACTTTTACTTACAAGAATGCAGTAAACAGATATTGTCTGTCCTGTCGTTCCCAAAAGTTGAGCTTGGCCTAATCTGAAAATTTGCCAGGAGATCATGGTTAGTGAATGATCACAAGATTACAATAGAAATACAGAAATTTAAATATATCTTTAATGATGATAAAGGCCTATATTATCTATGTTTTTTATGTATTCCTTAGCTAGATACCATGGATTTGACACAAAGCTTAAAAATGATAGATAATTACATTTATTTTGGAAGTTTGTTTTGTTATTCAGTATACTTGTTTTTTTCCATCTACTATATAATAAATTTAATCCATCATAGTTATACTAATAGCTACTAAGTAAAAATTAAAAATAATATTTATTTTAATGTGACAAAGAATTATTATATTTTGAATTACATAACTTCCCAATACGTTTTAATATTGTAAAATGTATTTTCTTTATTTAATTATATTATTGAAAAATATAATATGAAAAAGGTTTAAGAGTGGCTACCGCTCTGCTGTACAGTAGTTCTTGAGTATGTTGTTCTAATGGATCTGTTATATTTGAATTCAAGATAAATCATTGCATATGAAAAACAATTTTGATTATTTTATTCTAGTATTATACTTTCTCCATACTTGTATAAATAATCAAATTGAAAGTTAAAAAAGAAATTAATAAAAATCTTGAAATATCTCCTTGCTACAAATAGCATAACTTTCCTGTAAACTTTTTTTTTCTACGTAGAACAATTAGTGAGGAATCTTCTATTAAAATTACTTATGTTAGCTATAAAAAACAACTATAACACTCTTATAAATTTCTAACTGAAAAATCATTTGAAAATTTTCGAAATTATGTCAACATTTAACTTTAAATTCATACGATAAATAATCATGCCTTTGTATCTTAAATATTTTTTAACTTCCATTAATCAATCTTATAAGGGACCTTGAATTATATTTTCAAGCTTTTTTGCTTTGTGAAAATGTTTTTATCAAGAATAAATTAAATACAAATTACAAAATTCAAAACAATTCTCTAGGTTATAATTTGCTCAAAAAGTATCAAAATACATTGAAAATGCTACTATAAATATTTGCTGAAAATGTCAATTGTATGGTTATTAGTTTTTGAATTATTAATACATAAAAATCTTTCTTTTTTAAATTGGTTTTACATAATAACTACCACCTTTTTAAAGTTTCATGACGCTTTCTAAAACTACTCTGAATTTTTGATTTCACCCTCTCAAAAATAGGTACTTTTCTGTTATCCCTACTACCGCTCGATGTCGCGACTACCGCGATTCTCAATTCTGTTATCTCGACTACCACGCCGGTGTCACGATTACCGGACGCGTATTTACGGATGCTACTCGAGACTGGCCAATAGATCCCAAATTCAGTTAGGGTTCGTAAAACAAATTTATTTTACGGATACTACTCGAGTCTGGCCACTATGTAATATACCGCTATACTCAAATAAAGTTCAATATGAAAGCTGTTACGCAGACTGGCCACTATGTAATATACCGCTATACTCAAGTACAGTGTACAGTGATGCCATGCTAGGGGCACTACGCTCCTTGGCGCCGTCGCTCTGCTCCGCCAAATCGAAAATATCCCCCGACTTGCCGTGCAGCACCTCGTCAAGTTTTGAGTGGTTGTGCGGTGGTTACCCTATAACTTGACGAGGTGTTGCACAGCAAGTCGGATGATATTTTCGATTTGGCGGAGCGGAGCGAGTGCCCCTAGCATGGCATATATAGTACTATAGTAGTCGAGATAACAGAATTGAGAAGTCGCGGTAGTCTCGGCACCGGCGTGGTAGTCGAGATAACAGAATTGAGACTCGCGGTAGTAGGGATAACAGAAAAGTACCCAAAAATACCAACTAGATTCACTTTTCTACCAGAAAAGATACTGATATTGAAAATCAAAGCAGTGTTTGCTACCCCTGATGTCTATGACGGGCAGAAAAAAAAACACATCATTGTGTACCTACATTCTTTTGTTCCACTCAGAATCTAAAACAAAACTAGATATATGTATTATAATTTAAATGAGACAACATAAATGTTTTATTATTAATTTAAATATGTATATATTTATTTCATTAATTCAAATAAATATATAAAGTATAGCATAGATATAATAATAATAAATAAAAACAAATATTTTTTAGTAAATCTTGGTGTATAAAACTTTAACACTTATTTATTTGTAGCTATTATATTTTTTTATTTGCTTTTAGAGTTATAGTTTAAAATAATACTCCGATAATAACAAAATTTATACAAGAGTATACAAGTATCCGTTGTGATTAAATTAAATATCCTAAAATATGGATACTTCATCTTTAGATTCAAGTAATGACTTTTTGATTGAAGATGAAACTAATTTGGAGGTTAACACTTGTAACATTTGCAAGTAAGTTATTTTATACTTTTTATTATGTTTATATATTAATAAATTTGTGATGTTACAGAAATGAGTACATGTGCCCGAGGGTTCTCAACTGTTTGCATGTATTTTGTGAAAAATGCATCTTACAACTCGTAAATGTTAACTCAATGTTTAGTGTTCTTAATATAATATGTCCTACATGCAGTCAACCAACAACTGTATGTATTTAATTTTTATTATTTTGACTACATATTATGTATTTAAATGTAAATATTTGTATTATATTTAGACTCAATTAAATCGTGGCACTTTGACATTACCCCAAGATTATGTGACTAGGGATATTCTTGAAGTTGAAAGGTTGAAAACCCATAGACTAGTTTGCAAATCTTGTAGAGATAATAAAGAAGCAACTCATAAATGTATTACTTGCTGCAATTTTTTGTGTTCTAGTTGTGAGAGTATGCACAAGGTATGGTTTCAATTGATGGATTTTAGTTATTTATACTTACAAATATAAATATTTTAAATACTGTTAAATATTTTTTATTAGATGCTTGTAACACCAGGGCAATATCACTATATGGTTTCTATCGATGAAATGATTCAAAGTGCTCAGGATAAAACTGCTCTACATAAAATGGTTTTGTGTGAAAAACACAATAATGAACAAATGGTGTACTATTGTAACACTTGTAATGTAAGTTATAACAGTTATAAATTATAATTATACATGCAAGATTAATTTCTATATTTATTTCTGTCATATTACTTTGTATTGATCTGTGACGCATTTATTCTTCCAAATTTTAATTTAAGTGTAAATTAAAAATTTAATTATGTGTAAAAGCATCAAAGTACTAGTATAAATAAACTAGAATTAGGTTGTATTTTAGAGAAATTGAATAGTTAACTTATTTTTATTTAATTACGTTTTAACTAAGTATTATGGTTTTAAAAATTCATGACCTTAAGAATAATTTTTGCTCGTTAATTAATTAAAATTAATTATAAACGATTTTGCATTGCATATGATGACTATAGTTGTTGATCAATGTATTATTAATATCCTTATGTTTTTTTAAATAAGTCAATAATATTATTATTAACTTATCATTATATTTTCAGGAGTTGGCTTGTACTAAATGTCTCAATATACCTTCTCCGAGAACATGTCAACATAGTTATGATAGTCTTTCCAATGCTTACAAAAAATATGGAACAGAGTTAGAGTATCTAGTGCGGGAAAGTAAAAATGTTATGAAAAATGTTTCTACATTGCCAGCTACTTTAGAAAAAGCATTGGATAATTTACAAACTTCTCATGATCATGTAAAATCAAACGTGGAAGAAACTTTTCATGTAATAATTATATTATAATTTAATATCGCATTTTCTTAAGCTTAACTTTTTTTTTCTAGAGTTTTAAAGCTATATTAGAGACTTGTAAAAATGAGGTATTGGTACAGCTTAAATCCGCCCAAAAACAACAAGAATTAAAGATTATGGACAAATTTGAAGAGTATAACATTTATTTTTTAATCACTTATGTTTATTAATAACTTCATTTTTGCTTTTAAGGGTGAAGAAAATCACAGACAACATTAGTGGAGTACAACAATTTGCCACACGTCTATTAGAAAATGGAAGTGAATCTGAAATTATGGCATTGAAAAAATTAATTTTTACTCAGATGCTTCAGTTATTTGGTCAAATACCAGATGTTGATATAGATGCTAAGCTTTTGTATTCTTCTGATATTAGTGGTTTTGAAAATCATTGCCGAGTAAGTAATCATTAAATTTGATATAAAACAATTTTATTAGTTATAATCTTTTAGAATTTTATTTCAATGATACAATACTGGTTATATCTAATTTACATTTTTAGAAATATTTTGGCCAAATTGAAACAGAACAAGGGATGAATGTGGCAGTTGCACCTATCTCTCCGCCTACTCCAAGAACCAATTTTTTAACTGACCGCGTCTTTCCTCCGCCTATGTTGTCACCTATGGTTGAATCGCAGATATTTGATTTAAATTTGGCTCGCTTATGTTCATTAAATGTTGATGATAATCCTATTTTATCAACAATGTCATCCCCTGATTCATTGGGTGATTTATTGAATACAACAACTAGTTTGGATGGTAGTTTTGCTTTAAACAATTTACAGGCACTTGCTAAACTAGATAATTTGAACATCAACAATAACAATAATAGTAAGATATATTATTTTTAAATTTGAAACAAATAATAATTTTATTATTTGTGTTGGATAATCTAGATATGCTTCAAAGCCTGATGAGTCCATTAGCTTTGAATCAATCTGGCTTAGACCCATTTTCGGTAGGTAGTGTGTCATCTCTGAGTTCTCCTACAACTACTTTATCTCCAGGTAATTTTTATACTTGAACATTGATTAAATATGTAATAATGAAAATGTGTACAACAAATATAATTTAGATATATATGGAGTAGCCACTAATTCAAGTTGGTACAGTAAAGAAAGAAGAGCTCCGCCAACTCGGCCAAAACGTCATTCTAGTAGGCCTAGTATGGATATAGTAGCAAAATTTGGTCAAATGGGTAGTGGTCTTGGACAATTCCATTCACCTCATGGTTTTTGTCTTAGTCCTACTGAAGATATTGTTGTTGCTGATACGCACAATCACCGTATTCAGGTAAAACTAATAACTACCTGTAAATAAACTATTGATATTCACTAAAAGTTAATGCTTTTTAGGTATTTGAAAAAGATGGTACTTATAAGACTGAATTTGGCAGAGAAGGGAAAGAGGATGGATACTTATTTTATCCTAGAAAAGTGGTTTTCTTAAACCATAATCAAATAGTTGTTTGTGATCGTGGTTCTGATCGATCCAGAGTACAAATATTTGAATATCCTACAGGTAAATTTATAAAAAAGATTCAGGTCCAGTTTATTGAAATTGTGGCTGGAGTGGCTGTGACTGCAAATGGACATCTTGCACTGGTTGATAGTGTACACCCAACAGTATTTGTTTTAAATGTAAATGAAGATAACGGCATCATGAAATGGTTTGATTGTGCTTCATATATGGAAGAACCATCAGACATTATTGTCAGAGGTATGAGTGTTAAAATATAATTTGTCCATGCAATATAAATTAATTTACTTTTTAATTTTAGATGACGATTATTATGTTTGTGATTTCAAAGGACACTCAATTGTAGTGTTTAATGATGAAGGTGTATGTTTAAGACGTATTGGTGGTGAATACATCACTAGTTTTCCAAATGGCATTGACATTTCAGAAAATGGAGAAATATTAGTTGGAGATTCTCATGGCAATCGTTTCCATGTTGCCGTTTTTTCTCATGATGGCACTCATTTAACAGATTTAGAGTGTCCTTATATTAAAGTAAGTGTATTATAATACTGATTTATATTACCCTAAAACTATAAGTTGCATGATATGCTAGTGATAAAACTTACAAGTGTTATAAATTATATAAATTTAAGGTGGGAATTATATTTTAGAATTATTTTAAAAGTTAAACCTTAAATGTGTGATTATAACTTGTAGTGTCATTATTGAAATACGTAGTTCACAAAATGTTAGTAGTATATAATACACAACATGGACAGTTTTTAACACTGCTTCAAACAACTTATCTTTTATGTTGTGTCTGAATAACCCCTTAAGTATTATTTAGGGGTCAATGAATATCGATACTCGTACAATATGCTATGTACTGTAATTTAATGTTAAAATAGTATGCTTCAAATGTATTGTGTAAAAATATTTATTGAGTGCTATGTTTTGGATGCTTTTTTGTGGTTTTATAATATTTCTTTTTGAATCATGATTGTACTAATTTAAGAACTTCTTTAATTCACCACCACAAATTATTTTTTCTGACTACCATATTATTAGAGCTCGGATTTCTATGCAATTGCATATTTTTGGATTTTTGTCAGTTCATCTCCACAAATTATCATAATTTGAAACCAATAGGTAGTGAAATTTTTTTTTGCATATTTAAATGTTATTGCATACTTTGGCAAAATTCAAAATTTATTACATATTGAAGCGAAAATGTAATTTAATAATATTTTGTCAAGTAGAAAAATTAACACTAAATTTTATAAGCACTAAATAATAATTTATATAAAGATAAAATAAATAATTGCGACGTAAACTTAATCGCTCTTGCTGTGTCAGTTGGTTAATGCTAAAAAGTGAGTCATAAAAAAACTGGAAACTCAAAATACGACTTGACATAAAAGCTTTTCAATAACTGACGAAACGAAAGAAAAAATTAATTCTATTCCTGGATTAAAAGGTGCAATAATTACAACAAAATTTAACGGGCTTTCCAATAAAACTAAAGGTCTGGAAATTCCATGAAAAATTAATGCAATACTATTATTGCATTTTATTGAATTTTGTACATATACTTTAGTAGATACCAGGGGAGACAAGTTAGGCTCAGACTTCACCTAACAATTGTAAGAAAAAAATGAGGATACTATTATAGTAAATTATAAAAATTATAGTTATTTCCCACCGACTTAAAGAATATTATATTCTATAATATATAGATTTTAAATTAGAAAAGCTGTTTGTTATTGTATATTATTATCATGACAAAACCAATTTATTTTGTCATGTATAATATTAATTATTATAGTACATAAAACATACTTTGTCATTGTTATCAAAATCACGACGAATATCTTCATAAAACGATAGAACGATCTTGATGAAAGCCGAAGAGCGCCGAGAGGCTAGTAATACTTAGCTTCAGACGACAGTACGTTAATAAAATATATCATAGTAGTGGGAAAGTCAGAATTTTATTATGAAATGAGGCTGATCGAGTTTGTCAACATTTGTCATTAGTCCTTTGTCGAAGCAACGTAAGTGGTATAACCACCCATAATATTTTTATCACAAACTAAAGATATTGGTTCTTATCAAACAAATACTAATGAACTTATTATTATTATTAAATTTTAAATTTTGTACATGTTCTATGGTAGAATCGTGGGAGTATTAAATTCATTAATAATTTATTATTTATCTGCCTCATTCCTCATACGGTTCACAAACCACCACTGGTAAATACTCGAAATACCTCAACTTGTAATTATTTTTTTTTTACAATTTTATAATATACAATGTGTAGTTCTAAACATATTATATAATAAACTATACTTGATTATATTTACTTTTTATTAGTGTTAAAGAAAATAAAACTGAAGACTTCTATATGTTGTGTAGTAAGTTTTTGAGTGTGCCTCATCATGAGTAGATGCCAATGTAATAGATGTGTAAATTTAAATTTACTGATATTGTATAAAAAAAACATAATTTTGGGCTGAGATGATGTGTCAAACTCTATTTCTAAGGATAGTATAAATACTATTTTGAATAGTGATTTCAACTAAAAAAAGGTGCTCTGCTGTACAGTCGGTAACAAGTGGGCCGCTGTATAATGGATGGTATTAAATTTGAATTCAATGATATAATATCATTGTATAAGAAAAACGATTCTGAGCGGAGACGGTATGTCAGTCTAGGTTTAAGACATATTATATACATGTCTATGGTATTAAAAAAAATTGACCTATAATAAATTCCAAATTAATCATATCACAATATCCATTAGGTACTTATAACGCGTTATACATCAACAACAAACCCTGATACTATCATAGATATATAGTGTACTTTAAATGTTTCAAGTACCCACGAATAATATTATACACTCAAAACAAAATAACTAAAATAGTTATTCTAGGTTTTTATTATGTAATTTTGTCCAAATTTGAACTTAAAATCACTATAAAAATTAAATTTGCTTTTGTATTTTTTAGATTTTTTGGTAATAGAATCAACTACTTACGTGGAATCTTGTTTTTAATTTTCAATCCTTAGATATAAAAGTTGAACATTTTATACATTTTTAACTACAAAATAATTATTCAATTTTAAATTTGATAAATTTTGTCAAAATTTGATCTTTAAATGCTTATAAAAAAAAATTGTGCTTAAATATTTTAAATATTTTTCAATTGATATTGTAACAATATATCAGGAGCCTTGTATTCAATTTTTACACTTTTTGGCCCAACAGATAAAACTTAATTGATACTTATTAAAAAAAACTAAAATAATTGAAAACCGACAATGTCCGTTAACAGCTCAAAAAGAGTCAAAATATTTTCAAAATTGTATGGTGTATAGGAAATGCTAATTTAAACATTCAGTGAAATTTTCAAGTATCTGCAGTCATTTGTTTTTTAATTGCAACAAAATAAAAAAATTGTTACATGAGAAATTGAGTGAATATCAAATGTTGTAAAAATTTAATTTGAGTTCATGTAGACATTTTTTTTTGATAAGTTAGACAAACTTATGAGATGAAATTTTATCTTCCTAATAAATTATTTGCGATTTTTGGTGTATATAAAATTTATCTCGACGTGTTTACTTCAAATGATTATAAAACAAAATTAGGGCTGTTCGATTATTTTTTTTACCACATGATTATTAATTTCACGTTTTAATCTAAAATTAATAATCAACCCGAAAATCAATTATTTAACAACTGATTAATTGATAAACAAGTTTTTTTAATGACAATAACTGATTAATCGATTTTTTTAATCACTGATTAACCGATTAATCAATTTTTTTATCAAGGATAAATTGATTCTTGAACTTCTACTAATACATATTAATTTTTTTAAGTTTTGGTTGGTATAATGTTAACACATTCAAAGTATAATTGTCAAATATTTACACATTCAAAAATGAATATTTGTGACTCATAAATATTTTAGTCACAAACAATGTTTATAAAATCTTTAAACTTTAACTATTTAACAAAATAAGGCTTGTCCAACTTAACACGGAGGAAATGCATAATCGGCTTATACTCATTCGTATCATACAATTAGCATAATTCATAAATGAAATAGTATTATAAATATAAAATAACATTAATTTAACTATTTTGAGCAATTTAGGCGGTTTAACTAAACCGTTGAATTATTGTCGATTTAAAAAAAATATGAGTAAAGAACTGATTAGCTTTTTGGATTCACTGTCTGCTGTGTTACTATTAAACTTAGTAATCTTCATGAAATCAACTTTAAAATTGAAAGATTATTTTTTATAACTCGATTAGGCACTAGCTAAGTTAGGCTCTAGATGTTAGAGCACTAGCTCTTACCCCACCTGAACTTTTATAAACTAAGCTATTTTAATCTATTACATTCTTCTGTATTATCTTACAATATCTAATATTAAGTCTTAGTAGTAACAAACTCATTCATTTTTATATTTTAATTATTTAATGTTTGTTTTAGGTGTCTCGTTGTTGTGGATTGAAAATAACTAGCGGTGGTCATATTGTTACTTTAGCAAAAAATAATCACCATGTTCTTGTCTTGAATGCAACTGTGTAAGTTACTAAAATAATCCGATAAACTCCCCTAAAAATGTATTTGTTAACTTATTTTTCCTGTTATTCTTCAATTTTTATTATATAAATAGTTAATTAATTTTTGAGACTGCTCGAAGTGCATTTTTTTTTTTTTTTTTGTTTTATTTAGATTTAACAAATTTATTTTTATTTTTAAGAACACTGACATTTTACTGACTTTCTTTTCTTTTATATAATTATTATTATTATTATTATTATTTTTATTAAATTAATTTATTTCCTCAACAAGAAAAAGTAATTTTAGTTCCTATTTATTAAAAGGTAAAAAAATGTATGAGCTGTTTTTGTTTTTATTTAAAAAGTCTCATAATATTAAATTTCATGTATTAAGATATATATCGTAAATCATTTATTATATACATAGTATATATATTATATTTTTTTTGTAAATAATGGACGTTTACCTCGTTTAAACAATCTAGTGAACTTTTTAGTCAAATTAATCTAGATATAGGCAAAAAAAATTGTTTGTAATTTTAATTATATATTATATATATATATATACTCATTCATATTATTATTAATATCATTATTATATAACATGCATGTGTTTAATTGTTAGTTAACTTGTTGTTGGTGTTCTCATACGTAATTGCAATATTAAGATATTATTTTTTCGTTATTTTGGTTACTAATTAGTACCAGTTGTAATATTTGTTATTAATTTTTTTTTAACACAGATTACAATACAATTGTTTTTCTTTTTCGCTCAAACTTTAACGTTCCGTGATTATAAAACAAACCTGTTAAGTTTATTTAAAATATATATTACAATACATTTTTTAATAACTATTTTCTTGGTTCTATATTTATGTCATAACATGGAATTATTTTAAACATCTAGTCATTTAAATCTAAAGCCATTTTTTTTTTCATTTTGGCCATAAGGCATGAAGCATAAATAAAATAAGTTATATGATATAAATGCTGAATTTAAAAATTGATTTTATTTAAATAGTTTATTTAATATTAGAACCATGAACCAAATGTTTTTCACTAATCATTCATGACAAGATAACTGCTCTTGTTTAAAAAATCTTATTTATTTATTTTGTAAATGTGAAAATGTTTAGAAAAAATTCTTCCTTGTCGTAAACATATTTTTCATAATTATATATTAAATATTTAATTTTGTTGTAAATATTTAAGAAGACTGAATCGCTAAAAAATATTAGGTGATATTTTTGTTATTTTTTTTTTCTTTTATTTTTAAGAACTAAGGAAATTGTTTTATTTACCGAATTATTTATATCTATTCTATATTATTATTATGTACTATTTTAAGTTGCAATAAAACAAATTGTTTACTCTACATAAACAGATAAATATATATGAAAACAATGATAACAATTACATGTAACAAAATATGTAATGAGTTATGACCTTGTTGATTCCTAATAAGTCATATGGCACGTGGTAAATTAAATTACAAATACTGTTCAGTTATCTTTCAATTAGCTTCAGTTATAGTTGTGTCTAAGTGATACAACAGTTATGAATATTGTTACTAAGTATTTTAACTGCAATATTTTAAAAGATGGAAAAATTCGTGCACAAGACCTATGGGTCGTAGATGGTCGAATAGCAAATCCAGAAATTATATTTTATGACAGTAAAAAAATTCCAGACATTGAAATTGATTGCCTAGGATCTTTAATAACTCCTGGATTTATAGATTTGCAAATCAACGGTCAGTATAAAGTTATATAATGTTTTATTATGCACCTAACATTGCTTGATTAACTATATTCAAGTCATTTTTATTCCTTAATTTGTTAATTTCTAACCAAAATTTTTCCATAGTGCACTCACAGTTACAGAAAAGTTCATGGTTACATTCAATGTTTATTTAAAAACAATTTATTTTAATAAAATATAAATTATATTATCTTTTTGACCTTGTTACCATAGATTATATGCCGTTACCATAATATAATACTATTTAACTAAATTGACATAATACATTATATTAAGCTGTGTTAAGAGGACGTGATACCCAAAGTGTTACGTATGCAACGGCCGAGAGAACGCGCTATTAGGTGTTTTCGGGATCCGCAAGCGCGCGACGTCTAAGCCCCGCCTACTACTCGCAGTCGGCGGCACTACTGGCACTGCTCATTCAGCGCGTCTCGGGAGCGCCGATTATTATTTCATGAACGTTCGACTGTGATGTATCCCGTCAATATAAAATTCACACAGTAAACGTCGCGGTATTATTTGTAATATCCGCGCGTACCCATTCGAACTATCTTTTTTGAAAAGTTACTGCTTACCTAAATATATGCACCAATATATAGACTGTAAAAACAGCAACACAACATAGCTTAGTTTGTAGTTATTGCACTAGTACTCATTCAAATATAATACATACAGTAAAATATAATTTAACAGTACCTAAACAAATACATCTTTTACGTTCAACTGTTCAATATTAAATTATTTTTAACTTCAGCATAATTTGCATTTTCCCATTTCTTAGCATCTTTCCGTTTATTAACAACTAAACTTAAAAAAAAAAAATTATACAAATAGTAGTTTACAAATTAGTAATACATGTATAAAAAAAAATGTATATTATGTACAACTTGTAGTTATTATGAAGACTAAATTTTGTTTGTTTTTTTTTTTTCATAATTTTAATATTTTTAATTATGTGAGGAGGTTCAATAATGTCGCTTTTTAATTGACGTTTGCTGTACTGAGGGTCTACTATTTTTTTTAAAAGTTACTGCTTACCTAAATATATGTATCAATATATAGATTGTAAAGACGGCAATACAACAAAGCTTGATTTATATTTCCAAATTTTTAAGGGCAACGAAGTGCACGGGATCAGCTAGACAGTATATTTATATATACCAATTTTGGTAATCCAATAGATATAGATTTTTGTATGATTCGATTACTGGATAATTTACTTATTATTATATTACAATAATAATTATATTAAAATAAAAACAATTAGAAGGTATAATACTATGATACGTATAATATGCATGTTACAATTTATTAACATTTTACAATAATAATATTACTGAGATACGTCTAGTATGATTTTGTTTTTATTTTTGATGTTTTCCGATATATGTGTAGGTTCGAAAATGTCAGATTTTAATAGTCTTTTTCCATACCGTGGTTCAACCAATTCTGGCAGAAGACATTCTTTATAAAATCTGTGAACCAAGTAGATTCACTTTCCCGTCGAACAAGATACTAAAGCTGAAAATCAAATCATTATTTCGACTACTTTGTACCGTATACAATGGTTTATCACTCGATTCAAATAATTTAGCACATCCATCACAGTGACGAGGTGTACTCGTCGTCTACTATATACAGCAGAGCTTTTTAAAAATGTATTTAAATTTTTTTTATTTATTATAACACAGTTAAATATTACCGCTCCTGAAAATGCGTCGTATTTCGTCTTGTAGCTGCGCTTACTCCATTGGCCATCAGCAACAACAGGGCACATAGGTATACCATCACTATCTATATCACCTGCCTCAAAAGCCAACTTTTTTTCTTCTATACCAGCGAGTTCCATAACACTCCATGCTGTAGTTTCCATATGCATACTTATTTCCTCACTATATTTTATATATGTCGAGGGGGCCATACATGGAACATCTAAACTTGCCGAAAATTCAGCTAGTTGTGTGTATCCTATACCAATTGCATACGTGCCATTAACAATTGCTTTGTTAATCGGTATATAGTTTAGATCGTTGTTTTCCGATTCCAGTGTAGTCAATAGGTTACACATTTTACATTTAAAAATCCATTTTGTAGCAAAACCTTTTGTAATTTCGTTTATTAGTTCAACATTCATAAACGAACATCCTAGCCCTGGAGTATGACATTGCTCATTTTGTATTTGAAAAAATACGTGTTTCATATCAACAATCCTCCTACCACCGCAAAAACTGGTAAAATAAATTGAATTAACTATTTTGTAAGTAATAACTTACATAATTCATCATCATATATTAATTAAAATAAACATACTATGAAGTTATGGTATCTTCGGAACTAGGGTGACTGTATTCTGTACATAAGCTATGCTCCATAACAGTCGAAATATCATTATTATATTTTAAATTCGGTGAACTGATACAATCTTTTGGTAAATTACAATTTGGAGTACTTGAAACTAGGTTATTGTTCACATTATCTGATGTAGACAGATTATTTAATGAACCAATTTCTCTAAATAAATAAAAAGTTTAAATACCAAAAAAAAAAAAAAAAAAAAATATTTAGCTACACTAAATCTAATCGAAATTCAAAGAAAAATTATCAAAAATATTTTGCAGGTATAAAAATTAAAATAAATTATAATGAGTGTATGAGCGTATTAGGTACCAAAAATTAACAAACCTGTTAGGAACCAACTGCAACGTAGTCAAAATATCAGTTTCATTTGACGTCTCACCAAATGGTAATGGATTAGAAGTAAAACTTCAAAATAAAATATAAAACATAATATTTTATAACAATAGAATAAAGTTTAGGTATAAATTCTGTTTATCTACCACGCCAATTTTGAAAATTTTTATTTTTTTAACATGTAGGCGTGAACGGCGTGAACTATTTTATTTTATGAGGCAAGTATAAATGCTGGACCACCACCACCTAAATTTTATCACACAGACCCGTGGGGGCTTTGCCCCCACACCCCTAATTCACAATTCTACAACGATAATATACTTTGTTGTGTTAATATCAGAAATATAAAAAAATTATTATAAAATTAGTATAATTAATAGTATTAGACATTAGTTGACCTCTATACACTAGTTGTTCTCTATACATTTTATTATAGATATTTTAACTCTAAAACCACTTTTTAGTGAAGTTATGACTGTTTTTCGTGGACATGTTTATACCGTTGAAAATAAGCGGTATAACGTCCTCTTAATTACTTCGTATTATATCGTTATATATATATATATATATATATATATATAATTATATTGTTAGATATAAAAGTCCAATACTTTGTATAACAATATAATATAGCACTGATAAAAATAATACAAAATACAAAATATTTGTACAAAAGTACATTTTTATAAAAAAAAACCGAAACGTGCAATTTTGTGCAAAAACCCAAAAACGTGCAATTTTGTGCAACATAAAACTTTCTTTAAATTAATCTACATCTCTTGATTTGGATTTGTAGCTTGTTTCTATTGAATTTAGAACACGCCATAAAAAGATGCAATTGCACAGGAATCCGGTCTTTAATGATAGTATTTCAAAGGTATTATTTTTACAGACCCCTGGACCCCCCTTAATCCGCCCGAAACTGGAATCGTTATTAGAATCGTAGAGTAGAATAGAAATATTTTAATTTATTTATTGAACGGGTAGAGCCCTAAATATAATTATTTTATTTTATTTTTCTATAAACGTTCAAGCAGACAATGAAAGTATTTACATTTCTAACATTTCTAATATATAATATAATTTATATTTGTATATACTTACTTAATTTTTTTGTTTCGTCGTAGTGAAAGGGAACTAGTGAATTTTTTTTTAGATGACCGTTTCCGTTTCTGCTTATTTTCTTTATTTGCCATTGTCAAAAAAAAAATGGAAAATAATAATACAAAATTCACAAAAAAAAAAATTGAACACGACGACACAGAAATCCCGAAGAAATGATGTGATCACAACGAATTACCCAGGAGGAATGGTTGTGACGGTTGTGTATATGCATCAAAATTGAATATTTATTTTTGTACCAATTATTGAAAATACAGCTATTCATAGTCTCATATTGTGACTTCCGCTAACATAATTCGTAATGAGTATAGGATTAGGGACTTCTAGGAATTTGCATGTTTTTCAATAATCATTCAAAACATAGCTTAGTAACATAGGAATTTGTTTCATAACAATAGTACAATACGAGTTTATAATCAAAATGTATGGTTGCATATTTTACATATTTGACCATTTTTAATTTAAAAGTGCATATTTACTTTGACATTTTATTTTTTTATTTTTGTTTAATTGTCATAATAGGCATACTTGTGTAAAAATAAAATAATAAATACTAATACCAATAGTATTTTTTACCAGCAACTTACCATAATGTATAGAATGTATTCCGTATGAAAAGACGGATATTTATTAGGTGGTGTAGGTACTTGAGTTATTATAAATTATGCATAGGACTTTGAGCCCTTTGAGGTAGATACCAGGTATACCTACTATCTGAAAATATTAGTATGTCCGTAATAATAATAATTTATAATTTATATTAATTTATAATATTATAAAATAGTAAAACGAATAAGAGTTTGTAGATCGTAGGTGGAATGCTATCAATCGTCAAGACCAATTTTAATATTATAATAAAAATAAAAACAATTATTAGCTTATAAAATATTGTCATTTTATAGTATTAGATAGATAATAATGATATTGTTTATATTAGTTCGGTCTATTCCTGGAAGCTTCCGATAACCATCGACCGACCGTCACCGCGCGATAGTCGAAGCGGATATTCAGTTTTTGGAGTAGTGGGGGGAAATCGCGACCGACCTCTTAACGGCATGCAGGTAGCAGCACATTACAGCAATGAAAATATTAAATCAATCTACGTAAACATGTTTACGGAAAACAAACAAAACAGCATTAAAAAGCGATTTTAGAGCGAAAATACCTATTATGAGATTTAGAGAAAACAATATTTCGGAGACAACCTCATCGGGGTTTTGTATTATTTTAAATATATAGCTCCTTATAATAGGAAAAAAAACCTTTTTTTTTTACATTTTTTAAACAACTGTAACTTTTGTAATAATTTATATTTAAAAAAACGCCAATGAGGTTGTCTCCTAAAAATTCTTCTCTATACATTTCATAATAGGTAATTTTACTCTAAAACCATTTTTTGGCAGCGTTTTGTTTGTTTCTGGTAGACCTGTTTTTACCGCTAAATATTACGGGTGTAACGTCCTCTTAATAAGAGAACATTTATCTATTAACAAAACATTAACAGATAAGACTTGGTTTGTTATGTTTATGTAGAATCTTAATAAATATCTTTTAGTGTTCTTGCACATTTATATTTCATTGAATAATATAAATGATAATTCACAGTATTTATATATTTTATAAGAGGCATATTATAGCTAATGTTTATGTTTAGTTAATGATAGGTACCTTCTTTATAAAATGTTAAAATAATTACAGCTAAACTTTTCACCTAATTTTATATTTTATAATAAATGTAACAGTTATGTTATTCATGCAATATTTGATAACGCTGTGGCAATCTACATTATGCATGTAGTTCACTGTCTTTGTAAGAGCTCTACCATGAATTCAGATGTTTATAATCCATAATTTGCTGAGTTAAACTGCTAACTGTAAAATATAAGGGTCCCCTATACTGAAAAACAATGAAGTTTTTGGTATATGTTTTTTAGTTTTCAAAAAAATGAGATCAAAATACCTTATTACCCATAATTATGTGAGATGTAGGACTACTCAAATTTGAATTAACTTGGATAAATTTATAAATCATAGTGAAAATTGTATGGACCCATCCCGAGAACATTGAAATTTTATTGCATATTACAAAATTTTGTATACGAGTCCATGCATCCATCACAGGATTGAATCTTCGTTGATTTTCTAAATGACTAATTTACATAAGAGCAATCTTTTGTGACTAATTAATATAGTAATATTTTTAAATAGGTACATCTATCGCTTATGTTACCATAATCAGCAAATTGCCTATATATGTAGATAGTATATGATATACTAAAATATTTAAAATAAATAAACTCAATAAAAGTAATGCATAGTAAATTGATTAATTTAGTTCACTAAAATGTAATGGATTTATCAACCAAATTATATTTATAGAATCATTAACTCACTGTTGATTCATTAAATATATGATTATTTATGCAACCCAGCATTTAAGTATAAAAATGGAATTTATGTATAGGAGCTTTTGGAGTTGATTTTACTCACCATAATGGAGATGGACTTGATAAAGTGAGAAAAGGGTTATTAAAATACGGTGTTACTGGATTTTGTCCTACTATAGTTTCAACAACCACTTCAAATTACCATCAAGCAAGTATAGTATTAAAATACCTTTATATTATTTAGGTACCCACTATGAGTCTTGTTGGTTGTTATTGTTAATACACTATAAAACAATTTTTTATGAAAATTCAAAACTATTTCACTGGTAGATCTTAATATTAATATATTAATAATATAGAAAATAATATATTTTTTTGTAATGTTTTTATTATATTAATATTAAACTATAAATAGTAACTAACAGAACATTTAAAAATATATTTTATTTTCAGATATTACCAAAGTTCAAACGTTGTCGTGGTGATAAACAAGGAGCTGCAGTTTTAGGGGCGCACGTTGAAGGTCCATTCATTAGTAATCTAAAACGTGGGGCACATAGTCTTTCTAATATAAAAACCTTAGAAAATTCTAACTTGATAGATACTTATGGTAGCTTGGATAATATAGAAATAGTTACTCTAGCTCCTGAACTTAATGGTTCAATGGAGGTAATCCAACTATTATCTAATAACGGAATTGTAGTATCATTAGGACACACATCATCAAATATGGAAACTAGTATACAAGCAGTAAAAAATGGTGCAACATTTATTACACATTTATTTAACGCAATGCTTTCTGTAGGTATACTTTATTACACAACAACAACTGTTTGAACGAATTATGTTTATAGTTTCATCATAGGGATCCAGGGTTGATTGGACTCATAGCATGTCCACCTAGCGTCGAGAAGCCATTATTTTTTGGTATTATAGCTGATGGTACTCATACACATCCAGCAGCATTACAAATTGCCCATAAAGTCAACCCAAAAGGACTTGTGTTGGTAACAGATGCATTGTCAGCTATTGGGCTACCAGATGGTATTCATCATTTGGGTGATGAGCAGATAGAAGTAAAGAATTCAAAAGCATACATAGCAAACACAAATACATTATGTGGTAGTGTGACTTCTTTAGATGAATGTATGAGATTTTTTATTGAATCAACAAGTAAGTTTAACTCGTGAGTATAATATTTGTTATAATTGTATATTAAGAAAAAATATCTTTAAAGATTGTAGTGTTGCTGAAGCAATTGAGACAGTAACTTTACATCCAGCTCAAGTTTTAGGGATACAACAATTTAAAGGCACACTTAACTATGGAGCTGATGCTGATTTTGTATTTTTGGGACCTAAATTAAATGTTCAATCAACTTGGATCAATGGACAGTGTGTGTTTGAACATAATAGTGGAGCTGGTTATATTGTGAAAAAAACTACATAAATATTTATTATTTTTTAGTTATTATACTAAACTTGACAATTTATTAATTTTTAAATCAAATATTGTAATTTAATCAATAATATCACTTAATGTACATATTATAAAACTTAAATTATTGAATATAAAGACACTAACGGGATAGCCCCATTAATTGATGAAAGAACAAAATAAAATAAATACAACTTTGAAGTACATTTTTCGATTTACTGTCTTGCTTCTGGATTTGAGGCACCAGCAATCATCATAAATATGACTAATGGTAATATATACATCCACTGAAATAACAAATTTATTAGTGAGTTTATGTTTGGATAAAATCTTAACTATTATTAGGTAATTTAAAACTGAACATACCAGACTATATATTAATTGTTTTATTAATTGTAAATAGATTACTTAAAGTAATTTACACAAATTGTAAAATAAACTGTTATTATCCATACAAATTTTAATTTAGCCAAATGATTAATTAGTAAAAGATAAATATAATATTCAATAATAATTTATAAGATCATTTTATCAATGTCAAAAGTACATAGGAATTATCAATTTCTATTTTTTTAACAATTAAATATTGAATTGTTATTTAGCTAAATGGAAATTGTTGGGAAATATGTATTTTGTAAATAACTAGAAAAATAAATATATTATCTAATATACTGATCAACATACGACATCAAAATAGAAAAAAAGATGGCCTCTTAAATAGATTTGTGTTAGTGCACTTATTAATTTTAAAAACATTTTTACTTACATATTTTCCGAGCATTGATTTGTTATTGCTTGATTTTCCTTTTTCCCTGGCGTCACGCTCACGTTCCATCTTCTGAATATAAGTTGCGGTATCGGGACTACAAATAACCAAAAATGTTGTTCCATATAAATAATTCAATATTTGAGAGTAAAAAAAATCAAAATACAAACACTGGACTGCTTTCTGGTCTTCTGAAAAATACTGTAGTTGTAAAGTTACTTGTGTCCAATTCGTTAAAACTGTTGCAGTTGTTAGATGTAGTAGCTAAGTTAACCGCAAATGGGGAGTCTAAATGATCCAAATGTAGTGTTAAAATATCATTTAATTTAGACCCAACTATAAGGCATGCCCTAGTAAAAGTGAGAAAACGTGTTTCTTTGCCAGACAATGTTCTAACGGTGACTTTTAATCTGTATAGTTCATTTTTAGATGCTAATTGCTATAAACATACAAGTATAATAATTGATTAATACCAAACAGTTAATTGAATATTTATTAAATGATTACTTTTAATAATTGTATGTCTGAATCATTAATAGTAGTAGTAGATACAACATCGTTCCTAGACTCCAAATTGACAAGAATAGAACTGCGTTTGGTGAAACCAGCATTGGGAATCAATTCATGTTCTAAATAAACGTCAGATATTGAATCATAACTTGTATCCTGGAAAAATAAAATTACTTATTACAGTTATTAGTCCTAGTTTATTTTCAATTAATTTTACTTACAGAACAGTAAATACCACTTAACACTGAACAAAATAAGAATATTAGTTTATAATGCATCATGTTGACGTTTGTTTGTTTAATCCTTTAAAATAAAAAAAACATTTTCATAATAAATTAGAATAAAAAACATCTGCTTTGTATCAGGAACAGATACTCTGTAGTTGCCACAGAAAGTATAATATCCAATATTATTAATAATATGTCGACAGAATACAATTAACAAACTTACATTCAAAACACAATTATTTATATATTATATTTATATTAGTAGATTACTCACTAGTCAGAAATCACTATTACTCAAGGTAGATCTATAAGAATTAAAGATGTCACTTTAGTTTCCAATTTTCCATCATAAACATACTCTAATAGGTTTCCAATATTGAAATATCAAAAATCTAAAAATTCTTAATAGTTAATAATGTTATCTTGACTTATACCCGATTATGATGTATGATAGCGCCTATCATTTACAGTATTTGATAGCAAACCGAAAAATCTCATACACCGATCAGGGTTGCCAGATAGATGAGTCGGCGTACCGCCGATAGAGAGCGCTAGAACGCCCAAAATGGTGATGCCCAGTTCTCCCATAATAATTTAAAATTTTGATACCGCCAAGTTAAAGTAAAAGTGGTAAACTAAAATTACTAAAATCAGCTATGATATATTATGGATACGTCGTAATTTTCATATTATTTTGATATTTATGAATTTATAAATACACAATACGAATGTAAAAATGTTCAACGTTATTTTTTTTAAGCTCCTAAATTGTAGCACATAAAAAATAAGGGAAGTATACAAATAAAAACAAGAAACATTTCCAAACTCATGATAAATGTAATTTGTAATGTCCAAACTGAAATTTGATCTGCATACAACTACTGTTGAATAATAGTTTGAACTTCTTTAATACTTAATAAAGCAATAACTTCAGTTCATCTACTAATACGGTTTCTAATGTGCCTGTAGGTTGAGTTTTGTTTAAAATAGTTGGTTCATCGTACATCTTGGAGTTAAATTTTACTAACATCATATTTATATGAATTGATAGTTGACAGAGAACATAATATGATATTAATTTAAATTACTCACACTTATATTAAGTCGAATTCTTAGTAAAGCTTCCAAGGCAGACAATTGTATTCTGTTTCTCGAGTTCTCGACTTTGTTTTAACGGAATTCATTAGTGGAGGGCACCCCCCCCCCCCGGCCAAGGCATTTTTTTCTATATGTATATATGTACAAAAATCAAAAACCAATTAAATTTAAAAATATTTTGATATACATATAAATATAATTTTTTTATATAACCCCTCCTCTTATTGAAAATATCTGTGAACGCCAGTCATTCAATCTACTGTATTATTATTGAATAATAACTTGTCGATTTTTATATGTAACTTTTTTAACTTTGACCATCTGATGCCCTCTGACTAATCATTCTTGAATGAACTTATTACATATAGTCAATCAATTTTTTGGTTTCAAAATCTGAAGGATATAGATTGGAGTCTTTAGAGTTTGTACTTATTCAGTTATACCTACTATTTAATTTTATTTAAATTTAACGTGAGTTGATTTTATTATATACAGCTTTTAAATTTTTTTTAGCCATTTCAGGGAGTATTTTGAATAGTCTGTAGATTTTCATTAATGAAATTATATGATTATATGATTGTTAGAAATTATCGGGATTTGATATCAGCAGTCTAGGTCCAGCTTATATTACTTCCTAGTTCCTATATCATTGTATGTCAATTTTTTTCTTTCTTTTTAAAATGGATTTATTAGAAGGCACTCCAAACTTCTTTCGATTTTTTTTATACCAATTGATGTTAAGTTTATTCCTAAATCTTTATTTTTGCTCTTATAAATACACTTGGCAGCGAGTGTCCATGGTCCCTTTCCTTTTTTAATTTATTAAATTAGTTTGTTTTTATACATATACTATACTGCTTTTACTTTTAACTGCTTTAAGGGATAGTCTCCAAGCCGTCCAAGGGAGCCTAAATTAAATACAATAATTCAAAAAGTTACGTTATATAAGTTGTAAGTTTAACTTGAAAAGTAAATAAGATGGTCATTTGATTCATCGAAATCAGCGTGAGAAAATATGCAAAAATAACAAAAAAAAAATTTTGGTTTAACTTCCGGTATATATAACGGAAAGTTGTCCTGCTGTATACTATAAGTGTCATCATTGAGTAGGTCATTGATAACACTGATCCATTAAATTGATCCATTAAAAATGATAAATCATTTAATACAAAAAAAAAACATAGCTTACTACTTTACTAGTATAGTTTTGAATAGTTTTACAAACTGACAACTGTATAGTATTACAATAACTTTAATTTTTGAGTAAGTAGCCACCCATGACCCATGGATGAGTGATGACACTCAGCTTGATAATGTATATAATATAAAGTTATTCCAAACAAGTGATAAACTATGTGAATACGTCTACGTTACTATACTAGTTATAAATAAAATAGTCTATTCTTTGCTTTATTTGACACTTTAATAGGTATTTTAGAACTAATATTGTGATGATTTTTTTAAAACATTTTTCTTAGACTTATCCCCCGTCGTCTTATCGTTTTTTTTCTGCAGACCGACATTCTAGTATTAATTGACTGTGTTCACATTGCACAATATCGGATACATGTCTCATGCATATTCATAACTACTTACTATAGATACTCCGTTCACCGAGAGGATGACTTCGCACATTGCACATATGACTGGAGTCGAGGAGTGTGGATTTTGGTGATTAAGGCTAGGTACGACGTGCTTTGGATAGTGTGCAACCACTTTCTCTCGGCGAACGGAGTGTACTTGCGATGAGCTAAAATGTGATTTTGTATAATATATCAATGATAATATTGAGCACTGCAGTAATGTACCTATTTTGCCTATACAATACGCCGGACAACACATTATGTTTGAGCCAAGTATATTATATAACAATTTTATTTATTTACGACTATTATAGCCTATTGGGTTCATTTTTGAATCTCCACCAATCATATTATTTATATTTATTATTAAAATAGACAAACTGCAGAGACAAGTTTTTTTATTCCCGAGCGCGCAATGCATAAAAATAGAGAGCCCAAAACACCAGCCCGTCGTCGTATCATTTTATTTTATTTTATTTTAGAGAGTTTTCAGCTCCCCTCCAAAACTATTTAAAGTATGGCGTTTAAGATCTACATACAGAGCTAATTGCATGAATTGAGCTACAAGTGGATAATACACATAACGAACAAACGTAATTTTTAAAATACATATTTAATTATACATACCTATATAAATATTATTATTAACTAGGTCATATAATTAAATATATTATATTGATTAAATAATTTGTAATTTGAAGATTCGGAATTTCTATATTATAATTTCACAAAGATTTCTAAAAAATAACATAATATTTTATTATTATGATTTATCCATAGCCTACAGTCAGACCCGTATTTAGGAGAGGGTCAAGGTGGGCCATTGCCCCTTCTTGTGGAACTTGGGGAACGGTAAATGTTCATGAACTTTTTTTATTATTAAGCCAACATAGCTATAGCTTTAAAATTTTGTAAAATATTATTTTCCTTATGTATTGTGATTTGGTGGAGATTCCTCAGAAATGTCCTATATTGTACTTACTGTATATTATATTGTTAATAAAAACATTTAATAAAAAAAAACCCGATGGATGGGAATTCGTAAGCTCGTCTATAACTTTGAAACTAAGTCCGACCAACAAATTCTGTTTGCATCATTGATTGTTCTGACCTCATTGAAAACAAAGGTCTCCAAAAAAAAAATTCAAAATCTTACCACATTTATGAGTCATATATTATGACCCAAAATAAAAGGTACCTTACATTTTAAGAAATAACTTTTTGGAAGGCTGGAAAAATATACTGCCCCTGGGGCGCAAAATGTTCAAAGACGGCCCTGCCTACAATATAAAGTCTGTGTATTTATCGACTTAACGTATTATAACATCTATCGTCTATGGCAAATGCCAATCTTCACCATTCATCTGAGACAATTAACGATTCTAAAAATTTCTATGAACAATAACTGCGGAGGTCTACAGATGCACGTCTGTATTCTATATTATATTATAGTTTATGACACATTTACGTTTCACCGGTATAATAGTCGTAATGTCGTATAGACGATGTGTACGTACGTTTATTTTCAAATTATTTTGGGGCAAAACATTTACTCTTTACTCTTTAGACATTAAAGAAATATTATTATAATCACGGACAATCTGCTACCCGGGTCACGGACGCATATTTAATTCCCAAGAGCATAATGCATGAAAACGCGAGCCCGGATGGCGAACAACACAATAAGCTTCGGCGTATAGTTTCGTCGTATACTCGTATAATAATAATATATTTATAGTAAATACTAAATATATTATAATATATAATAATTTCATTTATAACCACTGGAAATAATAAAATAAGTGTGAAATAATTAAACATTATTTTTAGTGTATGATATTTTGTCAACTGTATTAATTAAATATTTAAATGCACAACAATATAGTTATAACTTAAAACAATAATAGTAATAGTAATATTATAATAAAAATAAAATGTATTAAATACATTTATCGAATGAATTGTTCGAAGTTTTCGCCATCATATTCTAAACATGATCCAGTCCTCTCAAAAATGCAGTCGAAGTTGCCACCTTGATTTGGTCTTCACATAAAATATCACATGCTGTTATACATATTAATATTGCTGTTATCATACACTAAAAATAATTTTTAATTATTTTATACTTATTTTATTATTTCCAGTGGTTATAAATGAAAATATCATTAAACACGAATTATGCATAAATCCAATTTTTGACTTACTCTAACTTAGTAAGTTTTGAAAATAGAAAAAAACTTTTTATACAATAAATGTTTGAAAAAAAATACTCTACCCGAATCTGCAGAAAAAAACTGGGGTTGCCATTTAAAAAAAAGTAAGTAGTATTGCGCATGCACGTACCGAGTGAGCTAAACATTTGAAACTAGTCTGAACATAATATGTTAATAATATACATAATGTACATAATATTATGTATTTAAGTGCTCCCTATCATCTCCCTAAAACCCCATTTCAAAACAAAGTCACCCATCTGAGATATTTAGTGTTTCCTAATATCGTGATCACACTGTATATTAGTAGGTACATTTTAAATATTATTTGATTGAACACTATAAAGAGCTTGTTCTCTATTAGCCTTGAGATGCACTCTGTGCCAGTGGTGGATATCGAGGGGGGGGGACTTACTCTAACTTGGTCAGTTTTGTAAATAGAAAAAAACTTTAATACAAAAATGAATATCCATCCGAGAATATGAAGAAAAAAAATAGTGTTTCCATTTAAAAAAATGCAAGTTGTATTGAGCATGCGCACACCAATAGTGTTCAAAATTTGAAATTTATCTGAAAATATGTATTTAAGTATTTCCTATCACCTCTCGAAAACCCCATTGCAATATAAGGTCATCCACCTGACTAAATTAGTGTTTGAAAATTTCATGAAATTTAAAAAAATTAAATATTTCAGTATTTTAATAAATTTTGTTTTATTTTTAAATAAGTTTTATATTTACATATATAACTGTTATAAATTACCTTCATAACTGTATGGTACCTATACTGAGTGCGCCGAGAGAGCGCAAGTCGGCGGCGACTAAAACCCGTCGTAGTCCGCGCATCGTACGGCGTATGACCAGTCGACTTGGTGTGAAAAATTAGACCTCTAACCCGCGGAGACCTGCGCAGCCGACTTGCGCTCTCTCGGCGCACTCAGTATAGTGATGTATATTTGTATAATATCGTATTATATTGTTCTGTGGTATTATACACGCTGTATAGAATTATTTTATACAATGGTATAAAATTAGTATAAAACTTTTTTTTCGCTAAGTGGTTTGAAGACAATTATTATGAGAATTGATAAATATAAATTTTTTGTTAAATTTAAATATGTATCTATTATTTACAAACAAAAAAAGTATTAATTATTTTATTTTCCATTATTTTTTTTTTTTTTATATTAAACAGTTATTACTTATTTTAATTATTATTTAAAATGGAAACTAAAAGACTAAAGTGTTAAAATTGTTATTTGTTAATATTAACTATTAATAATTACTATTGTTACTTTTTTTACATTTAATATTTATTTTATTTATTATTCAGAAAAAAAAACCAAGAACCATTTATGTTTATTAAAATTGTTAATTATGACTTTACTTGTTGACTTTGTTATTAAATTTGAATTTAATTTATTTTATTTTTCTTATTTGTATTAAAAAGATTCAATTTTCAAATGGGAAATGGACAATGGTTGAGTAATCAAATTTAAATTGTATATGTAATTTCAAATTTGCATATCTTTTAATACAGGGTTTTATACCATATAAAATGTGTATAATACAAAAAAAAAACAATACCGTATTTTAGCATCAATAACGGTACCTGTATGTATACCTAACCTTTGGTATTATACATTTAAAATAGTATTCAAAATTTTTAAATATTTTAATGTTTAATGATACAAGTAGGCATACAATATTATACATGTATATTGTATACCTACTGGATTTTGACATTAGAATTTAGAACACTGAACATTGTGTTAAAAAAATCAATATTGTGTTTTTGTATTAAAAAAAATTTCACGAAAACGTGAAACATTTCATACTTCAAACACTACATATTTAGTGTTACCTTAAATTGTGATAAAACTGTATAATATTTTAGAATTTTGCAACCACCTTCATGCAAATTACAATTTGAATACATAGTTTGGTCTTACATTAACGTTTACAGAACAGAAAGCTTTTTAAATTTTCCTAAAGCACTCTCACTGTTGAGCCACTGATTTACTTGACATAAGTTATATTTTATAAAGACCAGATGTATATTTTAATGAGTATTATCCTAATATAATAATACAATCATAAAAAATATAAAACATTAACAGATATACAAATATTTTATATTCCGTATTATGTCAGCCCATTAGTTTTTTTTTTTTAGTTTTTAAGTAATCTTTTTAGTGAAATAACCTACAACCAAAATTATAAAGAGTCATATTTAAGAGGGTTTAACATCCCGGTTTTGTTTTGTTAATTTAAATTAATATTTATTTAATTTTTTTGAGACAATATTCAAACAAATGACATGTCAAACGTTTAAAATTATAATTGTCTATAATTTTTATCATAAATTATTTTACTCAAAGAATATTTAAAAATCACAAATAACTATTTTGAGTGAATGTGTTTTGTCCATGATGTTTATGGGTCAGAGGTACAAAAAATAGTAGGCTGACGTCCTCTTAAAAACAGCCTAAAAATGGTTATCAAATCGAATAAAACCAATTTTTAAAAAATATATTTTGATATATTTTTTTTAGAATAACTTTTAACTATTAAAAATTAAAACAGTCATCTTAATATATATTTTTTAATAAAATAAAATAAAAATAGTTTTTATCCCGTTACAAATAAAAATTGAGATAAAAATTGTCCAACACCTAATTGTTTCACTTGCAAAACAGTTAGTTCAATTTTTATGAGAAATAAATGAACTTTACAATAAATTACCAAGTTGAAACAGCAATATCATTCAAACAATAATCATAACAACCTTATCGATAAACACGCATGTAAATTATAAGTAAAACTAAAAATCATAATTGAAGTCAAAAAATAAATTATAATCACTAAAATAATGTTATGTTTTAAAATAATATAAGGTTTTGAATTTAAAAAAAAATAGAATATGTTAAGCTATGTTATGAATTCATATTTTTATTTTTCTTAATCTAATAACAAGAATTCTAAATAAATGTTTTATCTTAAACTGAACCAAGGGGTTTAATATAACAATCAAGCATACAAAACTTGGGAGATTTCATATATTATACAAAACCAAATGTGTTTAAAAAGTCATTAAAAATGCTTCACTAACATTGTTTAGATAAATATCAAGACAATTGTTTAGTCAACAGTTTATGTCTTATAAACACTTCAATAGTAATAGTATGTTTTAGATATATCACAAGATCAGATGTATGTTTGAAAATGATACAAGTTTTCTTGGTTAGTTTTAACAAGCCAATAATGGATACAAAATATTTAAAAATAAAACTAGTAGAAAAAGAATAAGAATATATTTACAAGGAGATAATGGCTGCACTGGTGTTATAAGTAGATTTTCCAAATATTCTAATACTGTAATTATACTTAAGGATACATTAAAACTGCATATGTAAGAAAACCCTTCAACGAAACCTACATGACAATTTTTAACATTATATTTTAACTATTAATCAAACATATGCCATAAAAGTTAAATAATCAGATCAACATTTTTAAATGTATTTCAATTCAATAGTCCCTTGGCTTTGTAAACATCCCTCAACAGCGATTTCAAATACTTAATTTCTCTAGCCAGTTCTTTAGCTTCGTCCTTGAGAGTATCATTTCTTTGCAAAAGTTGTTTCTCTTCTACTACAGATTCCTTGATTTCAGCTTTTTTCTTCATCCTGTACCTTGTTGCTGCATTTTTGTTTTGTTCTTTTTTGCGTAATCGCTTTTCTTCGTTGGGAGCCTTTGGAGAGTATGGTTTGTCTCGTTTAGTTGTTATATCACTGTATGAATCGGTATGGCTACTAGCGTCTGATGACATAAAGTCTGATAATGTGTCTTCGTCAACTACCAACTGACTGAGTTCTTCTGGTTGCATATCATCTAGCATAGACATTAGGACATCGGTATCTTTGGGACTTTCAGGCGGTGTCAATGAAGTGGGTGGAACATAGTTGAATTTTGGCTGAATGGATGTTTCATGGCAGTACATAGGTGCATACTGTTGGGTAGGATATGGTTGATACTGGATAGCTTTGTTGGAAGGGACAAACTTCTGATATTCCATTGGTTTCATTTCAATATTGTTTGGAGAAGTGTTTGTCATGAAATCATCAAATATTGGAAGGTCAATGAATTTTTCTTCATTTAACCAGTCTGTGATAGTTTCAGATTCTGAAAAAAAAAATAAACTTTGTACTAAATTTATATTTTTAAATACCTTTGATCACATTTACTTTATGCCAATATATAGCACAAACTACTGATCAGTTTTACTTAAAAATAGTCTTTAAGTAATAATATTTTATTTCATGTTCGCAGTATTGCATATAACTATAAACTGTCTTATACTCTTATGATATTATCCAATAAAACAATTATTTTAACTTAAGAGGATTTAACAATGAGAAATAGAATTTGTTTTTATGTTTGTCACAGACGTTATTGACTTACCATAATATAACTATTAATTCCATTTTACTTAACAAGTAACATTGCTGAGTAGTTTATTTTAGTATTTAAATTTCAAAACTAGTGCTTAATGTATTTAATTTAAAAAAGCATAAAACACTTAACCAATTGTATTTAACTCTTATTAAAATATAAATATATATATAGATATATATATTTTTAAACTACATTGGAGATTTGTACTAAGCAGTAAAATTAATATTATGTTCTCTTCTATAAATTGGCCTAGTCTCCAATAATAACTCAAGTTATAACATAACTACTGATAATGCTATAGTACATACTTTTATATAAGAACAAGACAAATTAAAATATTCCATCCTTATAAATACATTAAACCGATGAAAATTAATACTAATACTAATGATTTTATTTGATAAAATATGATTTCTCTTCATGTAGACATGATTGACATTAATAATTATGATTAGTTTCGTTATAATTCTGAGTAAATCACAAAACTATATATTAAGAAATAGATCGATCAAAACCATCACTGACAATATACAATACAATAGTGTACCAGTGCATATTTATCCCATGATAAGTATTGACCTTTGTTGAAGTGACCCAAATAGATGCATAGGACATTAAGACAACTGCTGCTAGTATGCTTATCTAAATGGTCAACCCGACTGACTTATAATAGTCGTCATTAAATATGTATATATAAAAATAAAAAAAAAAATGTCTTTGGATGTCAATCACACATTAACAGAAAAGAACCATGCGATAAACTGTAATTATTTTAATTATTATACATGTCCCTCGAGTAGCAGAATGTTATTAATACATTATCATATTATAGTGTATTTGCTAACAGTAAAAATACAACGAATTTCAAAAGTAACAAAGGACAGTATACTTTATCATCATACTTTAATTTGATTATTATATTTTCATTATTCATATCACCAGACACAGTCAATAAGTCAAGGAAATTTTCAAATAAATAGACTAAAATACATGTCCAATTGTATAATCCATTCGACTAAACATCAAAGTATTTATTAAGTATATATATAGCCTCTACAAGTTCTACAACTCTAAAGTCTAAAACATTATATGTATTTCCTTAATAGAAGTGTTTGTATTTATATATATTTAAACAAACTATAAGAGAAATATCGCAATAACATTGATTTATAAAATGTAATCAATTTTTTGATGAATAAAAATATAAAAATGGTTAAGAATACTCAGAATACTGGACCTTGGGCTTAATATATTACAAACAATAATTTAATTGAATAAGTAATTTTTATGCATTATTATAATATATTATTTTTAAATGCTATGTTTCAGCTTTAAACAATATAATATAAATGATTACAGCTGCTAAATGATCATGTTGTTATAAGCATTAACAATTGGGTTTGTAAGTTGATAAAAATTATAAATATCACACATTTTTAGACTGGAAATTATAGGAAGTAGGCACACCTAAGATAAATATAAGTTATAATAAATTTAAAAATCAAGGGAGTACCTATAGTCCATACGTATTACTGTAACCATCAGGCAGCAAGACATAAATCATCTGCATCTCGTAAACAACAAAATTGTTTTTATTATTTATTAAATACCTACTTCAATTATTTTTACCAGACAAAAAATTACTTTCCATTTTTTTCCGATGGTTTCCCCACTTTACCATTGTAAAAATCATACAATTCCTGATACACTGCATGCCTACATCGTCTCCAATTCAGATAATATTAATATATAATTTTTGCAATAATACCCTTTGACCTAGATAATTTACTCTTTAAGTTTCTGAAAATCAAATCGACAAGAAACAGATAGGAAATAGGAATTGTACTTTAATATTATTAATCAATGTAATGTTTTTATCAAATTGAAACCTTATGTAATAAGTGCATTTAAGGCTTAGGCAGATGTCTCAATACTAGTTAAGTATCAGATTTAGAAATTAATAAAAATTGTCTACCTACTTAAATTAAAAATAAAGTTAAACAAATATTAATATTTTCATGAATGGCCGATAGTAAATTTTCTCGGAAATAATAAAACAGTTAAATAAATATTTTAATAATTTTTGGAAAGAAAAATATTAAATATCTATATTTTTAAATGTTTAATTAATTATATTTAAGACAATGTACATCTTCAAAAAATACGTCTTCGAATTTAGAAATACGTAACAATTTTGTTTTGTAAAATAGTGAAATAATAAAATTAAACTGATACCCATACAAAATGTTTAAAAATTACGTAACTCGATTAATCGGGAATCCCGCCGATGTGCACGTCAAAAAAAAGTATGTTACCTAGTAATAGGTAATGTAATGATAATGCTTACTATTTTCAATAAGTCATAAACACTTTTCAAGACTAATTCATAATTGTGTACACCTACATTCCCTTGTCCCTTGCATACCTTACATTTAAATAGAATGAGCTTGAAAAATGCACTTAATTTTGTATTAATTTATAAAATGTTGTTGATTAACTTAATTGTTGACAATTTGAAACATAATAATTCGATGAAATTTTAAGAAGATTAAATAATACCGAGTCTACATTAGGTATCTTACCACATTGTCAGTATAAAATAATAAATTAACTACGCAATATCAAGAAAATTGTGATAACTATGAATTAAAATACGTTTTTGTCAACATATTGTAATACCGAATTATATATTTTTAATTATTATTTACCCTATAAAAATGAAAAAAATTGTTAAAAAAAAATGTAGATGCTTCAACGTACCAGAGGAGCACCAATGAGATGAAATCATTCCGGTAGCCATGTGCTGTGTTATCATCAGCCTTGGCGTGTTTTGACACGAAACCAAATATCTAGCTATTGCGAAATTTATGTAAATACCAGGCAGCAGAATATATATACAAAGTAATCCTGTGGTAATATACTAATATATGTTTATATAAAATAGCTCATAAAACAATCAAAACAAAAAATTAAATAATTATATACCTATATTATATATAGGTATCTAAATTAAATGGAATTTAGGTAATAGCAATAAAAACAAAATAATAATGGTAAATTTCGATATTTGGTTTCACTTGTAAGGCGTGCAAAATTTTGCTCTTTGACCGTTCACCTTCTTTTTACCAATTTTTGCGAGTTGAATATAATTTGCCTGCTCCAGGTGTAATGATAGATGAACTTCATAATCACACAACTATGTGATGTGTCGCGACCTACCATGTGAACGAAAATACATCTATTCTACTAAGTGCATAAACTTTCAACAAACAACTGGTTGCGCCTCGCGAGAAGTTGGCTGAACACTGCGGGACGGACAGACACGACACAGCTCTGGTTCCTCTATCTCGCACAAAGACTCCCGACAACAAATCTCCCTCCTTCACCACCTCCTCCTCCTCTATTTGCAATTTGTATTATTAATATTGTTATTATTATTATTGTTCCTTTACTTCTAACAACATGTTTACGCGTACCTCGCTATGCGCGCGCCTGTCAATTTTTTTTACAAGTTTTTTTTTATTTTGTGCATAGATAACACATAATTGGAGTATAATATGTTTAAAATTATATATATATATATTTATCATTATACCGCATAATTCACACGCGCAAGTATAACAAGGTGAACCGCTATTACTATGTATATTGATCTAAAGCCGGATAAATTCTTACTAGTTGGCAACCGAATATCAAAATATAATAGTAGACAGTAGTAGTGGTAGCCGGTAGGTAAAAAAATAGTAGGAGTCGAGTACCAGTATTTAGTACCTAGTATCATTGAATGAATAATAGAAATGAGGTAGAACTCTTAAAGGTAGTACACTAGTACCTACTGAACTACTGTAGACTGTAGTAGTATAAATAGTAGTAGCATTATAGTATTCAGTGCCATCATGAACGAAAAATTATGGGGGGTGTACTGGTGTAGACTGTAGATTCACTTATGGAGGTAAATATGGTTATGAGTATATGACTTTTTTTCTCACTTCACTCGACCGACGACTTTATTGGAGACACTACATTCCATATCTAATATTTCATTATTTTTGTGCAATTTATTAACAGAAAGTGATTCCGTTGGGGGTGATCTCTGGTAACCATTTTATCTAGTTGTGTTACTTAGAGGGCAAAAGTAGGAAATTCCCAGAATTTTTTTTATATTTCAAATTGGGAAAAACTAACAAATAACAACATCTAAGAATACGTTAATATTTACGCAACGCTTGTTTTTTATAATGTTTGACGTAATAATTGAATAATAAAAAATATTGACTTTAGTTATTTTTCTATTATTTAAAAATATTATCACACAAACTGTATTTCACAATTACTTACATTACTGACTATTAGTACAATAATTTGTTAAAACTTAAAGTTAACGTTAGGTAGGTATAGGCGATGTTTTTGAAAAACGTAGTTCAAGCTACTGATTTGAGAAAATAGTAAACAGTAATCTATATTCTATAAATAATAATAATATTAATGTAAACTATTCTTAGAAATATATGTTAATCACCTCAAATTCCAATTTAACACATCCATTATAGTAACCTACTCAATTACGAAGTACACTAGAAATCTACTATACATCGGAGCGAGTTTCACGGCCTCACGGGTTGTATAAATTAGGTATAAAGATTTCAAAGTTGACGTTCTAGCACTTATTTAATAGAAAGACACAAATTAATATGCATGGACGTAAAGAGGGTCCTCAAATCCATAGG